TTGATGTGTACAAGGTAATGTCCTGAGAACACATATTTTTTGCATTTTGATATAGAGGTAGTTTGTTTGTTTTATGACTTTCTTTTCTTGTTTGTTTTGTGACTTTCTTTTCTTGTTTGTTTTGTGATGGGTTTTATTTTGAGTGGGATTATGGTTACATGGATGTAGTCATACTCCCTTAAAGCAGTCTAAAGCATTATAATTGGTATGTAAATACGTATAATTATAAGATGATTACTTGGACACTTAAGTACTGCTAGAAAAATGAGCAACATCTTAAGGTGATTCTAAGAAACAGTAATTAAAATGGATGTAGTGTTATTTAATGCACATAATTGGTAGAATCTAGGAGGACTTTGTACACATATATATATTTTTTATATTCACATTGTATGCAGTCCCACAGAATAGTGTATAAAAGAAGACACTTTATATAATTTTCTGGACCTTTAATGAAAGATGTTTAGCTCTGAGCATTAGTAATTATATGTGAAGAAAGAAGTTGGCGTATAATATTTTTAAGAAATTTTATTCAGCATCTGCATCTCTCCCCCTTTTGCATACTTTCCAGGAAATATAGTGTACGTCTATATTTTAAGATACATGGAATGCTGTGTTTACCAGATTTCAAGGTCTCTTTGTTATCTTTCAAATGTTTGCTCATCTTTCTATAGCTTTGATGATTTTGAACTTGATACCTGCACAGTAACCTAGGTGAGACCGTATTTATATTTTTGTCTTAAAAATCGAAGACCTGGAATGAGAAAATCCTTTTGAAAGGTCCTTCTAAGTGGCCCTATTATTTTACATGGCAGTTTTACATGCTTTTTTTGTTTGATTTTTTTGCTTCCGAGATGTTTTTTAATGGATGTGTATATTGTATTTTTTGTATACCCTCTTTAATGGTAGAAGGCAGTGACAAATGAGCCATAACTAGGAATACATGTTTCTTCTTACATTCAATTACATACAATTTTCAAATTGCACTTGTTCATATGTTGACAGCTGATGAATTGTATGGATAGGTAAAAAGGCCTTTGTAGACATACAGCTTTTTTTTTTTTTTTTTTTTTTTTTTTTTTTTTTTTCTCTCTCTCTCTCAATTACTGACTTCTACCCATTGAAAGTCAGTGATTTCATGATATAGTTATCAAATTTAGATGTTGATTTTCTTTACTATCTTTGAATTATTTTCAAGACTTATTTCTTGTTTGCTTCTTTGAAACATGTATTTTAGGCTTTGGAATAACAAATGTTTAAATGGTTCAGTTTGCAGAAAGACATTGTTTGTTGCTTCACAATTTAATCTCAGTTTCTCGGAAGCATCCTTGGCGCATTTGTCATGAATTGCTCAATGTTAGGCTTAAAAGTAGTGTATGTTGAACCTTTGCAACTGAATATGTCTTGAATATATAGTGATTTCAGTATTTACCATGTGAGGAATAGTATTTTTTACATGTAACTTAAAGTATTAATTTCTTTGGAGTAGAGTTTAAAAAAGAGGGAGAATACCATGCACTAATGGAATAGAGTCCTATGGAAAAATTTAGATTATTTGTTTTTGAATGGAATGAATGTTGTGGTCTGCCTGTCTCATCTATTTTTATGTATTTATATGTAAATATGTGCATACTTATTAGTTGGTGTTGGTTTCTATCGACCAACTGCAAGAAATGTTGCAACAAAGCTTGTGTATAAGAAAAGATTATGGGAGATTCTTTTCTTTTGATGTGACTTAATGAATAGTGCTTGCATTTGAATGTCTTGCTTTTATTTCTTGCCAGAGCTGGCATTTTGTAGTTGAGAATTCGGTGTGGTAATTCTTGTTTGTTGAGGCAGCTTCACATAGTATACATTAATCTTTGGTCCCTTGCTTGTGTGATTAATATTACTGTGTCATTATTTTATTATTGTTGTTGTTTGTGTTATTTTTACCATTATCATTATCATTATTATTATTATCATTATTATTATTTTGTTTCTTTTCTTTTCTTTTCTCTTTTTTATTATTATTTTTAGTGCTTACATCAGGGATGACCATAGAGGGTTGTCTTGTGTCCTTGTCACCCTGTCCTCTGTATCTTTTTCCGTTACACTAATTTCCAGCATGTCTTTCTTCATCTCACCCATAAACTTATCTTTGGCATTCCTTTTCTGCTTGACAGTTCCATCCTCTGTGTCCTTTTCCCAACAAACACTGCATCAATCCTCTTTACATGTACAAACTATTGAGACTCACCTCTCACATTCTCTACAATCTATTTTACTTGTGCTGTTCCTCTAATATAATAATTTTGAATCTTGTCAGTCCTAGTCACTTTTAGCCAACTAATGTGGATATATTTTGAAGCTGAAAATAATAGTTTCCGGGTGGCTTCAAATTTGGCATGCGGGGCTGGCCCGGAATCTGGCCATGCGCTGGCTGTGGCCCGTGATGGAATCGGAGCACATGCTCTGATCCAGCGTCACCAGCAGGATGCCCAGCAATGTTTTTTTTCTGGTGTTTATATGTAGGACACCTGTCGTAAATGGGTTAACAAAAATTGAAACAGTTTCAGCTCCTAAGCTATTCAGCACAGCTTGTCTTACTACAGTCTTGTGAACATTCCCTTTTGGTCTTACAGATGCCTTTTTATCACAAATCACACTAGCCATTCTTCTTCACCCACTTCTCCCTTCCTGCATTCTCTTCTTCAGTGCTCTAGCACCCTTTAAATTGCTTTGAAGCCTGGACCCCAAATATCAAGACTCGTCCACCTTAACTGGCACCATTCTGCCTCTGTCCCTCTCTCTTCCTTATAAATATACGTTTTCTAGCTCCTGCTGACTTCCATTCCTCTTCTGTCCAGTTCATGTATCCACCTCTAGAGGCTTTTCTTAACCCACCCGCGCCGGGGTACATCTTGTAGCCAAAATTAAAAAAATCCGGGAAGCTACAAAATTAACTTGCTGCTATCTCTCATTACAAATCACTCTATCTGCAAACATCACATTCTATTAAGACTCCTGCTCTATTAAGACTCCTGCCTGATCTCATCTGTCAACCTATCCATCAGAGCTGACCTATGTACTTCTGTGTCACTCCCAAGTTCCTCATACTGTTCGTAACTCCTCTCTTAGCATTCTATGAGAAGCATTCTCTAGATCTACAAGCATAGTATAACTGCTCCTGACCTTGTCGATCCTTTTCCATCATAGTCTCATAATAAATATTGCATTATTTTTCATTATTAATCATTTACTGTATCTTCATCATATGTTTATCCTCCATACAGCCTGTTTGAATAAGTAAGAGAAAAAAGAAAAGGAGAGAAAAAAAATACATCTTTATTTTCTAGGTTTTGGTACGGGAGCTCCAAGCAGAGGAATCTAGCTGGACACAATATGATGAGGATGAAGCATCAGTGAAAGTACAAGTTGCAAGTGAAATCCTTGATGACCTCGTCTCAGACACTGTCACAGTTTTCACGGAAATCATAGCAAGGAAGATGACACTTATTGGAAGATAGGAAGTCTTTCATATGGAAAGAGATTTCTTCAGTGTCTTAATTTTGCCTCTGATTACACTGCATAGCTGGTCAGACAATTTCAATGTTTACATATTTTACTTTAATTAATTTCTTCATTAGGGCTTTCATTTTCTGCACCACTCTTGTGTATTAGTTTAAATGTTACATTGGTAAACAAACACAACCGTCCAGTTTTACCTCTACAACAACAAAAAAAGACTACACTTGCCATGAGAAATGGTACGTTTCCGTAAACAATACTGTGTTAGGGATTTGAGTACTAACATTACAAGCACTGTGATATTTCAGGTGTGTCAAAGGATTTGTTTTGAAAGTGAAGCTCATTTGGATAATGCTTTATCACCAGTAACGACTGCCTTAATGTAAAGTTAGTATATGTGAAAAAGGCATTTATGAGGTGGTATATGCCATTGAGTTTGCATTTTTTAAAACATTTTCCGCATTTTGTGTGATAGAAGTTATTTTTTAGCAATATCAATAACTTTTTTGTTTTAAGATTGCTGCGTATTGTTTTTGTACAATCCAAAATAAATTTGTAAGTGATTTAGTATCTTTATATTGTAACCTGAACAATAGAAGGGTTCTCTTCATCTAGTGGGACAGTCCCATACATGGCTTGTTTTCAGTCCAGTCAGCTGTCTCCTCTTCAAATTTACCTTCAATTATAATCTACCCCCAAGTCTTAACCCCTTGGACCGGGATGATGTGGTGGTCACGTAATGGAAAAATTCGAGCTGCTGCCTGGATGGCATAAACATGCCGTCAACCGGACAAATTGGCTGCTGCCTGGGTGATGCGAACTACCCTCATGATTGAAGGCCAGGGTGATGGAAAAGACTCGCAACGAGTGCACAAACCTCTTGTAGTGTGATTTGACTCATTTGGCGCTTAGAAGGGGGCTTTAGCATTATTCCCATAGATAAACAAATGTGGAATGTAACGTGCATAAGCAGTGACTAGATAAGCATTGGCTCCAGGGAGGAAACTATATCCATCCTGCACACTGTATTCTTGGCCGCTGTGACCAGTGATGCAGGTTGTATTATGTAAAATTAAAAATTACGAAAAATTGAGATATATGACATAATTAACCAAATGTTCCATATTTTTTATTCTTGCACTGAGTTATTTACTATAAAGAGAGATGAAATGAAATCTGTGCAAGGAAAATAATTAATTACTATCTGGATAAAGCAAATCAAAAGACAAATATGGAAACTGGCATTAAAGCTGAAAAAGGTTACTCAATATAACTTTTCAAAAGTTAGGCACAGAGTCTCTTCACCACTCATGGGTGTTCGTGCGTGCCTGGCCTATGTGCTGCACGCCTGGGATATAGGCCAATCACACAACCCATTGCCCGGGTTTTCAGCTCCATAATTTCTGTGATGCAACCAGATCCAAAGGGTTAAGCAGCTTAAACTGCCTCAAATCAAACACTTGTCAAATGGCAGTAATATGTTTGCTATTTGGAAATAATTTCCTATCATATTGGTGGTTTGCGGATACCAGTTCTTGTTTGTATATATATGTTATGGTACACAAATTTCTCTTACTCTAACACTCTTCCCCCCCCTCCGTCTCTCCCTCCCTATCACTCTCACTAAATACATGTGTATATATAAATACATATATGCATACATGTGTATGTATATGTATTTATATATCTAAAAATCCTGGCACAGTTGCCACTGCTATCTTATTATTTTATGAGCTAAAGAGTGCACCTGGTTTGTTTTTTACAATAAACAAATATCAATTACAGTAATACGAACCCTTTGAATCCAGATGCCTCGAGACTTTAGGCTTACTCGAGTGGAGACTCTCCCAGATGTTATGCTCGATTAAGATGGTACAGCATTACAGACACCATATTATCTCTCCTGGTAGTTTATGATCTGTGCAGTAACAATAAATAACCAAGTGTTATTGTATTATTTGAAAAATATTTTTGTATTCAATTTTCCATAACCTGCAACAACAACAGACAAGAATAGGTTCCTGTTTGTGACATTGTATCCTAACTGGACATGACCGACTCTTTCCCAGGCATGGCTCACAGACGGTACACTCCACCCTTGTGGGATGGTGGAGAGTTTGCATTTCAAGTGCCCCATCCTTTACCACCTAGCCAGATTTTTCCATGACAAGACCTTCCTTTTATCTGCCAGCCAAAATTTTATCCCACCACCTGGATCCAATGGGTTAATAGTATAAAGGATAAATTATCATGCTCTGCAAGTTTAAATTTCTAGAAGGATATTAATATGTCAGCATGTGTATACACAATATATTTGTATAACACTACCATATTTACAGTATGTACATTCTTGGCTGCACTGACAAACTTCCAATAGCCATTCATCATTTACATTAGTATATCTATATACATTATAATTTACAATCTGTGTATTGTGGATGCACTGCCATAATAACCCTGATACATTTTATTTATTTATCATTTCTCAACTTACATAAAGAAACAGGCCTTTCATATTGATAATGCCTAACAGGAACACTACTCTGAAGGATATGGTTTTAATGGGAAACTGACAATACTGTAAAATAACATGGATAAAATAATTGATATTCCACTGTTAGAGCTGACAGAAAATTCCTTTCTCTAACATAAGTGTGGGAAGAATATGTAATGAAGCATACATACATACATACATATATATATGTAAGTTTAAAATTATTGGTAAATGTCTTCTATATGTTGAGGCCAAGAGACCAAACAATTTAAGGACCTTAAATGATACTGTTATAAATTTTTACAGGAGGCACCAATTATATTTTCAGGCACTTGTTAAGAGGGTACTGACTGCAACCAATATCTAAAAAAATAATGAGTAATATGCTAAGTGCATTCTCTTTTATAATGCACTTGAATATGAGGCCCAACTACATTAATGAAAGTAACCAAAATATGCAAACAACATTGTCATAAACTAGCAATATTATAAAACCTGGCCAATGCACACAAATTGTAACATGCAAATATTAACACATAAGCAACATTAACTTGGCTTACTAAACATCTCTGGGTATCTTCTTCAAAATGCAATATACAAAACAACTGAATACAAAACAATTCAATGCCTCATAGTGAATGGACAAGTAATTCTTCGAGGAATTAGATGAATTGCAGGTAATGGATGTGCATCCCAGAATGTTAGTGAAGATGAAACCATATACAGAAAATGGCCAAATTAAAATAAATTACAGGACAAAAATGGGATAAAGATGTTCCTCACACCTGTTCAGCATTATATATCCCAAGTGGCAGCCATTAATATTAAATATCAGTATTCAGTTTATATAATGAAGGTAAAAACTAATTAGCTATTCTCACTAATACAAAATCAAGCATTGACAGCCTGGACATGTAACATTAAATCATAGATATACTGCAAATAAATAACAAATGACATCCACTCCAAATGTATTAATAAAGTAAGACATCTAATTGTCAAAAAACAATCAATAAAAAGTAGAATAAATAAATAAATAAAATCAAAAAAGGTCAAAAAGTGACCTAACCCTTACACACAAGCACAGCAAGTGGACAGATGGCAAAAGTGCAGACGATGTTCCTTCCTATACCTCCTCAAATGTTGCTATATAATCTGTGCTGGAATTCTGGCCCTACTTACCCATCATGCCAACAGTATTTTATGAACAATGCATGCTATTTCAGCTAAGTGAATATTTGTATCTTTTTGTGAGAAATTTTCAGCAAAGATGACACCTTATGGAAAAAAATAACCTTTCCTTTTTAATCCTATGGTGTCGAGTAATCAAATTGTGTACTTTTTCTTTTGAGTTTTGTTTCCATATTGATGGCTCCACAAGTGTTCAGCCACCAAGGAGCTAACTAATAAGACTACATGTCCTCAAGCTGATTTCTCCTCTCATGGAGTTTTTGGGAAAAATATTTTTCTTATGCTATTAATACCAGTGTTGTTACTGTTGTTGATCATATCATGATTATAACAGTTAATGAATAATGGTTGCAAAACAAAATAAATGTGCTAGACACTAAAGGTCATATAGCACTATAGAAAGGTGTAGTAGTGAGACCTGTAAAGAGGGAGGTTAGTTCATTATTAAATCTGCTACATGTCAAAAGTCATAGCACAGTTCAGGATAGTATGGTATTGAAAAGGGCAAAGAGGTAGCAGTCGGTTTGTAGAGGTGAGGGAAGTACTAAGAGAGGTAGTACTATGGAGAGGTGGACAATAAGGCTGAAGAGTAGCAATGAGGGAGAAGTGGTTGGAGATGAAGAAAGCTGTTGGGGTGGAGATGAAGTATAAGATGTTGAGGGAGGAGGAATGTTTTCTGGAGGTCATGTAATGACCTGGGTGGATAATTTGGTCAAGGCTGAGGTGTTAGTAGATAAATGAGGAGAAGGTAGTAATAGCAGTATTCAAAGTCATGGTCAAAGGAGAGCCTGGGGTGAGGAAGCTGGAAGTCACTGGGGCTGGTTGACAAAGGAGTAAGGCTCATTTCCTCTAAAAGGGGTACAAAATCTTTATTACTGGTCATGGTAAGCCTGGAGTATTTTGGGAAGAGAAACAGTCCACCCCTGCTGATGGAAGTGTGGCAAGATGGGATGATGGGAATCCTGTGCCTATGGCTCTCCCAGGTCATTTATGACAGTCACAAAGTCAGCCTTTTCAGCCTCTCAACATGGCTCTCACCTTATGAAGCGGATAGTATAAGGGGTTGGAGAAGAGAAGGAAATGGAAAGGGCAGAAGAAAAGACCAATCAAAATTAGTTGAGTAGCGAGGGCTAAGGCCCAAGGTAGGGGTAAACCCCAGCATTGGGTCCCAGGCTCTGTCTCGTAAGCCCTCCAGGAAAATAACAGACAAGGGATAGGGGGGTAAGATTATTAGGTTAGTAACAATACTAATAGCAATAAGAAATACATGTTTCCAAATATCAAGAGAAAGGGTAAAAGTTTAGCTACGTAGTACTAGTAACTGACTCCTTGATGATTAACCCGTTCTATCTCTTGGTTTCAGAAGTGCACGTTGCTTGTGTATGGGTCTCTCACCAGTGAGCAGTAAATTTATTTGTGTTGTACTGAATTTCTCTTTATCTAATACAGTATCTGCCTCTCTCTCTCTCGCTTTCACCCCCCCAAACACACACAGAATACAGATTCAAAAAATAGATCTAGTGCTGAATACGTGATCACTCTGCAACAACTAAAATCAAATGGAATTAAGACGCCAATGCTGGCGTCACTGTATGTTCAATTGGCGCTTCGTGATGCTGGCGTTGGTGGCACCGTATAAAACAGGTTAAGCACTTGTGCAGCCATCTAAGTGTAAAGACAATCAGTAAACAAAATGACATAACAGACATGGCATGTATTCTTGCCATCTAAGCAACATTAGGGTTAACTATATATAAAAATTATGTAAATTAGCTTTACAGGAAGGGTCATGGGAGTATTATTTATTTTAGATTAAAATTATCTTTAATTCTTTCATGAAATAAGAAAAAGAGATAAATGAGAGCATTTACATATCTAAACATTAAGAAAATGGTATTTTAAACCAATATTAATTGGAGATTATGTTACTTGGAGATTTCTAAAAAGTGTTACACACAAAAAATACAATACATGCAAAATATTTAATTGATGTCTAAAAATCAATACTATGCTCTGAACACATTTTTAGCCACAATATCTGACTCTTAAGCTTTGACTCATATCTGCCCTTATTACTAAAACAAAGTGCATGTTATATATTTGTATTATCTTTTTTTCAAACAAAAACAATTATGATTCATGCATATGAAGAATAAAATTATCTGTTGTTCCAAAGACAATAACAGACAAATGCAGAAAGTGTTTTTATATTTAAAAAAATAGTTTATATAAATGTGATAAAAAAAATAAAATAAAATAAATAAATAAAAAAAAAATAAAATAAAAAATAAACCTAGAGAGCAAAAAAAAGATATTATGGTACGTAACATTACATTATACTATTATCATTCAATCTACAAGGAAAGTTGCATGTTTAGCTGCAGAAATTCATTCAAAATCTCATCGTACACAATTTCTTTTCTATCTTGTATTACCTGCACTGAGTCATTCCCCTAAAAAAAGTAATAAGAATTTCAATAAATAGGTTATTACAATCACAATGAATATATATATTTAAAAACATCATAATGATAATAGTAATTGTTGCATCAGAGCAAGCAACCCCCATCTACTTTCTACTCTAGTGGGCATCATGTCAGTATTCTGAGGATACATTTCAGTCAGTTGAGATATGCACATCAACACGAGCATCTACAGCTTGTGAAATTTAACCCAATGGATCCAGATGTTTCCCTGCCATCACATGGCTCAAAATACAGGCATTAGGCTTACTTTAGTGGCCACTGATGGATGTGTGGCTTGTAGGCTGGCTGCATGCACATGAACAATTGCGTGGTGACAAGACTCCATGCCTCCCCTTTACAATGTTATTTTCTCTTTTTCTGCACAGGCATTTTTTCTTTTTTGCCATTTTCCAATGTCTATATTTGTCATTGGATATGCTTTATCCAGATGGTAATAGACTGTTTTCCTTGCACAGACTCCATACCATCTCTCTAGGTAGTGCATAACTCTGTGCAAAAGTAACAATATGTAACATTAAAAAAATAATAATATTCAGGTTTCTCAATCCTGGAGATGGCGCTCTTCCAATCGTGGTTCACAGACAGTACATTCTGCACTTGCTTGTCATTGGAAGTAATGAAAAAAAAAAAAAAAAACCCTTCCTAAATGCCAAATGAGTCTAATCACCCCCCAAGAGCTTTGTGCACTTGGGGCGAGTCATTTCCGTCACCCCTGACTCCAGCAAAAATTCTTGTGATGGCAAGTTCATGTCACTGTGGGCCACAGCCAAATTTTCCCATAACAGCATGATCACATCATCTACCTCTCATGCTAAATTTTTAATGATATAATGGTCACATCAACCTTATCATAGGAGTGACCCATCTCATTGGCACTAAAATTTTCCTTTTCCACCATGAATGAGGGAGGGATAGGATAAACTAACATACATGCTTATTAATAATATGCAGATGACATCAACTGACCAGAGTGCTACGTCTGAATAAGCAGGCCCATTGAACCTGGTATAATATCACAGATGACAATACCATATATGCACATCAAGCTGACGCTGGAAATCCAAACCATAACACTTAGCAATAAGGATGGTAACAGCTCCAATATTTACCAAGCAAAAAATCCATCTAAGTATCATTAACCTACTTAAAGGGAAAGAAGGATAAGAAATACCAGTGTTGAAGAAACAGTGGATGCAAGTACAGCCTCTAATAGCCTCTTTCATACCTTTGGAAAATATGCAAGGAGCTAAAGAAACACAAGAAGAGGATTCTCGTCAGTCTCAACTATTTACAACAGGCTATATATATATTATTCAAGACCAGTAAAATAGAGTAAAATAAAAAGGAATGTTTATAGATATTTGCTTCTTCAAACAAAATCTTCTAAAAGATTTAAAATTAAACCAATAACACAGGTCAATGACAAAGGCATACATAAAAGCCTCACTGAAATCAAAGCCTCCTCAATATTTCTATACAACAATATACATTCTACTTACAGTAGACTTGGAAAAATATTCATCTGTTTCTCTCAAGGACCTAATCCTCACAGAGTGCATTATCTAGCTACACAATGACACATATTTTTTCCCCTCCTACAAACTATGACTGCAATATCTATCTTTTGGACACAATTCAGAATCTTTTCGGATTCTTTTCAGATATTTTTAACTTGCCATAAACACTGGCAATAAAAACAAAGAAATAAAGAAACTAACCAATCTGTGAAAAGAAAGTAAGATTTTATAAAGATAACAAAGTAGTTATATTATACACTGATCTTTCACCAGTATTTAAATGAGAAGAAAAATATTCAATAAATAAAACATTGATGGAAAGAAGTACTAATACACTGCTTTTAAGTCAATAGCATCATGTGATTTCTCACAAGTGTCTTCCTTTCAATCAACAAACACAAGAAATGTATCTTTTATCATGTAAGAAAATTATGCAGGCTGCTATATGCATACACTGCACTAAAATTTAATTTGAACTTTCCCTTTTTAGCACAATGATTTTTTACGAGAGTTCAAAACCAGTGTTGCTAGTAATGGCATATCTCAACTTTTCTCTCAGTGTACTTTTACGCTGGTAGTTGGGTAACTTCAACAGGTTAAAGCAGGTTGAGGAAGTTGGCAGGCGATTTACCGGATCGCGTTTGCGAATGGCGAAGAAGCCACGGATGACACTGCCAATGGTATCCCCTGCGAGAAAAAATATCTAATAACAACAATAAAGATACTAGAATATAAAAAAGTGAATATGAAAATATGGAAATATGACATATAAATGAGTATCTAATTGAAAGGAAGAGAGTCTAGCAATGAATTAAATATCTTGTCATGAAAAACAACCTCAATGATTAATTAATCAACAACAGACTTAATCCAACCAAGTTAATCCCCCTTGGCACATGGACTCACCTGTATCCTCATCATCACCAACCTCCACACAGCGGATTGAGAAGGGCGGCTCCAGGTGTGTGAACCCAAGGAGTGGAGGCTTTGAGCAGCTGGTCACAAACTGAAAGAATGTCACAGATACAGGAATAAGGAAGAATGAAACACTTGTTAATGATGAAAGCAAAATAGGTAGACCAATAAAATAAACTTGATGGTCTAATACATAATCACAGACATCACTTGAATAATTATAAAATTGAATTGCAAAACCAAATCTTAACCCATTTTATCTAGTTAGTCTAGTCAGGAATTTGTCGTCATGGAAATTTAGCTCAGGGGTGAGGTTACAGTAATATCCTGTCATGATATATGCAGCTGAAAGCCGAGGTGACAGAAGTAATTCCCTTTGAGAGTACAAAGCTCTTGGAAGCAGATTAAGGTTTGGGGCATTTAGGAATGGGCTCTTACATTATTTCCAAAGGTAAATGAACCATGGGTGAAGGAGCACTGGCTCCAAGGAGGACACTATTTCCTTGCCCAATATCTCATTTCTGGCCACCATGACAAAAATATTAATAAAATGAAAAATAACACAATGTTACTTATAGCTGTTGCTATTTCACAGAGTTGTGAACTATCTAGAGAGATGATATGGAATCTGTGCAAGGAAAATGTCTATTTCCCTCTAGATGCAAATTCTAGAAGATTATGTAATAGGAAGATTCTTATACCTTAATTTGTTAATACCAAAATAATCATGAAAATATTAGAAAAATTCAACAGCCGATATTTTAAAACTCTACATTTGTAGGCTTCAAAAGCTGTGGCACACTCAATTTTAGTCAAAAATAAACATATTATGGCTCATGTAGCTGAATAATGAATCTACTGTTTGTTTCATTTTTTTTTTTTTTGCAATTTTTTCCTGTGCTTCTTCTAATAGTGACATCACTCCCCCCCCCCCTAAAATTTGATAATTCAAATATTCTCACACACACACACACACACACACACACACACACACACACACACACACACACACACACACATACACACACACACACACACAGGATCATGCATTGGATTAAGATAAATCTGTACAAAGCTCTTGTCAGAATACCTGTGTGATTTTTTTGGATTTTTTTGTCTACTTTTTGAAAAACTCTTTTTTGAAATTTGGGGTTTGGCATTTTTCTTTTTTTCATTTATCTATTTCTATAACTTAAAAACTATTTGGACAATTTAAAAAAAAATGGGTATAAGTTTCATCACAATTGGCAAAACAAATTGGGGAAAAGAAAAGAACAAAAAAAAAAAAAAAAGACAAAATAAAACTGACGATTGCCTTAAGCCTAATACCCGTATTCTGGGCCATGTGTACCAGACACCCAGATCCAATGCGTTAATCTCATACAATCTCATAATCTTACACTTTCACACTGCTTTCTCACATTCACATCTTACACAATCTCACCTTGAGAAAAAGTGCTCTCTCCTCCTCCTTGAAGTCCTGCTCCAAGATGTCCCACAGCCAGCACACAACTCGGTGCTTGTCATGGAAGCCGCCATAGTACTGCGTGTGACGTCGAAGGTCCTTCAGATCTACAGCCACATTGTCTCCCGAAATTAATCGCTGGAACTGAGGGACAGGGAAAAATATCATATATATTGAATATAAATTTTGATACACAAAAAAATAAAAATAAGTATGGTGGTGTTAACCTTATGTAAAAAATGTCTACTGTGTTAAAATAACAATTAGTATCTAGTATCTATTAGTATCTAAGAATAACAAAACTACATTGGCTACAGTAAGTAATATCCCATTCAAAATCAAAACAATCATAATGAATTAAAAGTAAAAATAATGTCAACTTTATACATTGTATGATTAAATTGTCTGGCTTAACAACATCAAACATAGAAAAAAATCACACATGCACACATCACAATCAGCGTCCCCAGACTTTACCTCTGGCACGGAAAATAGCCCAAACCACTCAGGGTTGACAATGGACCGGAATCCCCGTATGAAGGCCTTGGTTTGCTCCTTGATCTGGGTGTGCATCTTGAAGTGAGCCATGAGGTGGATGTAGACAATTTTGTTGTCATTGGTCACTGACACTGCTTTACCCCCTGGTCGAAGTTCGTGAGTGATAATCTGACCCAGGTAGTCCTCGTCATAGGAAAAGGTGAGGTCAAGGTCGCTCACATCGCCTTCATAGTGCTGGGAAACAGATGATCAATGTTAGGACAACATCAGGACATGTATTCTGCACAAGGTGTTTACAATTATGATCAGTTCAATCAGTTTCCTCAAAGAAATTTTTTTTTAATGCAATGGAGCCCCTCAATCAGTTCTTTCACATCTATACAAGATAATCTTCATACCTTTATATAGGTCAGTGACTTATAAAGCTCGGGGTCTAGTGATGGCAGTTCATCGATGGAGGAGTACAAGGCAGACTGCTGTTCACCTAGGATTTGGCTCATGAAAAATGATGCAAATGGACAGTCAATGACAATGCCCTGGAAGAAGAAAAAGAGAGAAAAGAGAAAATTATGATAATTTTGTATTTTGGATTTCAACTCCTTACAATACTATATACTTTGGGGAAAAATGATCGGAATGCTGGTTTGCACTTTGGCTATTTGGCTAATCACACTACAACTCTCATTCTGAACAGCTTGCTATGAGAATTTGAGTTTTAGAACCATAGCTCTCACCTGGAAACAACTGACAATCCTAAATTCTGGCTAAGCACTAGGAAATGAGATCCATGTAACTGTGGATCTTGCATGTGGATGTTTGTAAAAGTCAGTTGTTGTAGTTCCACTGTAGTACAACTTTGCTGATTCTGAACCACTTAGTTTGGCATGCAATTGAAGAACATATACCTAAGGGGTTTGTTCCTTGCTTCCAGGTAGCTCCATATCATGCAATCATTATCTCAGTCCAGTCACAATATAAAGCTCTTCTACTATGTGGTCTTCACACTGTGGTGGTTCAATGCTTTAATGGGAATTTAGGCCAAGAAACAGTAATAAGGCCTCATGTTGTCATACACATTTGTATCAAGGTCACAACCAAGATCTTGTTAGTGTGTGTATAGCAGAAAAATGAACTTGTTGGTTACCGCTATGTTGCATGCACCACCATAGGTGTTTTGGCTGGCTTTAGAATCAGATAGCAAATACTAACCTCGTATACAGCCTTGCCCAACATCTTGCCTGTGAATTCAAACAACTGCAGATGATTTTCTGTCATTGAAGATGTTGGGGATGGGTACAGCCGTTCCTCACTTGTCAGACGGAACAAGTTGAGTGAAGGATCAAACACCCTCTTCAGAGTCTCCTCCAGAAATTCTGCAGTTATTAAAGAAATATCATATAAACCAATACATACAGGACAAGCATTAGAGTAAAAGAAAAGATTAAGGACAAGAAAACTAACTACACAAACATACATGTAGAAAGAGAGTATTTACTTATCTTTACCTATCTATCTATCTATATAATATAAGTACAACACACACACATATATATACATGTATATTATATATATATGTATATAGTATATATTATATGTATATATATATATATATATATATATATATACTATATATATATATATATATATATCTATACATATATATATATATATATATATCGTATATATATCTATATATATATATATATATATATATATATATATATATATATATATCTATATATATATATTATATATATATATCTATATATATATATCTATATATATATATCTATATATATATATATATATATATATATATATATATATATATATATATATATATATATAATATATATATATATATCTATATATATATATCTATATGTATATATATCTATATGTATATATATCTATATGTATATATATCTATATGTATATATATCTATATATATATATCTATATGTATATATATCTATATGTATATATATATATATATATATATATATATATATATATATATATATATATATATATATATATATATATATATATATATATATATATATATATATACACACACACACACACACACACACACACAAACACACACACACACACATACATACATATGATGAAAAAAAAAAAAAAAAAAAAAAAAAAAAAAAAATCTATCTTTACCAAATCTCATCACTCACTGACCTTTGAACACACCATCCTGATCAATTCCCGCCTCATCTAAGCCCTGCTCATTGATGAAGCGGACTCGTATCAACCCCTTTAGGGCTTGAGGTGACAGCGAAGCCAATTGTCTGTACCCATCCTCAACAAGACGAGACCTGTTGATGAAAATCAAATCTGACTAATTTTCTTCCTTTTCTGCATAAATAATGGGTAGTAAAGACTTTCTTTTTGGTTAAATTAAGTCATGGATGAATGTTAATTTGTAGTCATCAAATCATTAACTACTATAAACATACCTTCGTACTGTAATGAGGGTTGACTGTGGAGCTGCGCATGCCGCTTCAGTTAGTCCCAGTACCTCCTTTTCATTTGCAACTTGCATTCGCAATAAGAGCACACGTTCTTCATGAGGAATTATGTGTGGCATCTCTTGCAGTAATACCTGAAAGCATCAACATCTATATCTAACCTCTGATATGTGTCTTATCCATGCACATGAGTTGTAAAGTTCCCTGAAACCCTTTTCATCATTCATGTATTATTCAAGAAAAAATGATATATGAATTATGTTTAATGTCTTGTGCAGAAATATTCAGTGACTTGACAAATAAAAAATTGGAAATTTTTCTCCATATATAGAATGGCTAACTGTTACTTCACTTCAAAAGTAAAAGAATTAATGCTCATATGGATATCCACATTCTTTGTAACAATTTCCTCAGACTAATAAATAAAAAGGTCTCTAAAATGCTGCTACATAGCCCAGTAAAATAATATGAAAATCAAATGCATATAATTAATAAAGAATCTAAAAATAAATAAATAAATAAATAAATTCTATAGCATTATATATACACATACCAAAAAAATATTTTCAAATAATTATTTGAGACTGACATTTTTGGTGATTTTACAAAATACAATTTTCAAAAGCTTAAGGAAAGATATAAAAATCCGAAAATCATTCTTAAATCTCCTAAAACAAGTATTGATGAAACAAACATACTTCCAAAAACAATCCACGTATACAATCATAAAGGGAGATATCATAATATGCCAAATCATAAGTGAAGACTAAACAAAAATAAAAAGAACACATGCAAGGCACAATACAATCAACCTTAACTTGTCTTTTACCTGCGTGCTTTTTTTCCCCCGTCCAAAGTCTGCCATGAACGATGACACGCGCACCTCCTTAATCAACCAGTGTGTGTTTGGGACATATCTTCTGCGTGAATTGCGAGTGTACAGCAGCATGAACAAGGTGTGGAGGGAAGAGAACAGGGGACTGTTCTTCACGTTCCGAACATCCACGAGGCCATTGTGGATCAACTATAGGTAGTGGCAGGAGCAAGAAGAGATGAGAGAAATCAATATCATTATATAATTTTCATAGGGGATAAAAGTAATGCTAAATAAAAACTGTAAAAGAAAAGATTAATATATAAAAGGATATGTGCTCTCTGTAACCCTGTAACTACTCTTGAAAAGAAGTCCACACACTATTTACATAACATCTGCTTAACACATAGGGCATAATGAAATATATATGTCAAAGGAATTCAAACAAATTCATTATAAATATCATAGAAGTGAATTACAAGGACTTTTATTAACAAACTATTTCCTTAACCCTTTGTATGTGAGTATATGTATCATCTACTGTGAATTTTAGCACACACATATGGCTCTACAAGTGCTCAGCCACCAAGGAGTCAATCAGTAGCCCAGTGTGATCTCGCCTGATTTCCCCACTGTCGAATTTTTTTTTTCTAATGCCGCAAAAATGGACATTGGTGTTAAAATTACTGAAATTATGATTAGTATAATGTTATCAAAATACTAGTAACAATGAATAAAAAAAAATCTTTCTGAATACCAAGGATAAACAGGTACAACAGGTAAGACTATTAATTGACTCCTTCATGACACAGTACAAATGAAGCCATCTATGTGTAAACACAATCAATAAGAACAGAAACACAAGCAAGAATAGGAGGAGAGTGCACAAAAGAGGAGAAAGAAGGAAGGAGAAGAGGAGGAAAAGAAGGATATAAAAAGAAAAAGAAAGAAGGAATAAATAAATACTAAAAAAAAAAGAAAAAAAGAAAAAAAGAAAAAAGGAAGCCTACTTTATATATGAAGTTGTTGAGAAAATATGCCATTGCAGCATAATCAGCAACACTGAAGGGTTTCTGCTTCTCGTACATCTCCATGTCATCCAAGATCCTGGAATATAACCAAAACGAACTTTAACTTCACACAACATGCTGATTCTATGAAATGTAAAGTATTCACAAAAATCTAAACTACCATTTATTTTGAAAATAAAAATAATGATAATAGTCATAAAAAGAGTAACAATACTACTACTACTACTAATACTATAACACTCATGGTAATAATAGTAACAATAATTCATAAGAAACTATAGTAAAGCTAATAGTAGTAATAATAATAATGATTGTAAAAAAAATCTTAAAAAAGAAAAGAAAAGAAAAGAAAAAATAATAATAACTAATAAAACATGTTAATGTCATACTAACGTCACTAGGTGGGTGGTTGAGTCACAGAAAAGCATGAGCATATGGAATTCTGGGGCAGATGCTTTGGTTGATACAGACAGCAGATCCAAGAAGCTCTTTAATCCACAAGTAGGACCAAGAGAGAGCAATATCATCCACAGTTGGATGACAATGTCACTCTTGTAGCATAAACCTGAAGGAATTTGTTTCATGTTTTGGTGAAGAACTATTTTTTAGTATGTGAGAATGTTGCAAATGCCAAGATTACTGACATTTGAAATCCATTAAACAATAAGAACATGAAGTATAAAAATATATAAATATCTCTAAATCTTTGTGTGGTACCAAGTGCTGAACTTTGACTACTATTTGCCTAAATCAGAGACTTCAGCCTAAATTAAATTTATTCTACATTAACCCTGAGCCATGAGAAGTAACTTAAAGAAACAATGCTGAGATTAACCCCTGTACAAAAAAGAGAGAAAAAGAATTATACTCCCACAGAGAAATAATTAATTTCACAAGATACAAATTTTTACTGTCCTTGCTATCCTTCTTCATAAATCATACAAATATCCTAATCACATCTTATCCAAAACAACAATAACAACATATCCCACACACCTGTTAGGATATCCATGCGCAACTGAGACAGAGTAGTGGTTGCAGTATGGTACATGGAGCACACCATGGCAACTGTCGAGATCTCATTAGAGCCCAGCTTGCGGTAAGTCCCACTTTTGGGCATTCCTCCACTACCCAGGGGGCTGTTTTTGCTTGAGGAGCTAAGTTTGCATTCAAAAGCTTTCTTCAGGAGACTTGCTGAGGTTATGGAGCTCAAAGACGAGGTGGTGGAAGTCAAGGAAAGCCCCGAGATATCATTGGTGTCACTTATTAAGGGTTCCTGCAAATGTACATAAAAAGGGGAGGTTTATTCTAAAGTACTTTGTAAGAGACTGTCTGCACTATGCCAAAATATCAGTCTTAAATATCTTATTCTATATCATACTATTTCTAAGGAAAAGTTACTTTCTCTAGTTTTCTAACTGAATAATTTTTGTTTGTATTATACATCATCATAATCTCTGATCATATTAGATGATAAGAAAATAAAAAAGGTGTTTATATTATTCCAAAGATTCATTATTTTTCTTCTTGAAAAAAAAAAAAATAATAAATAAAAAAAAACAATAATAATAAACTGGCTCTTAACCAGTCTAAAATCTGGTTATATTACTGGAAATTGATCACTAAACTTTTTAAAGTAGATTTCTGAATCCCCTCCAACCTCCATCTATAATTTCTTCGTGCCCCAAAAGAGAGAAAAAATATAGATAATTATACTTTGCATGCAATCAGTTATTCCTTTCTGAGGTTTTATTTAAAAAAATTTCTCATTCAAAAATCTAATTTCAGAATATGTTAATATTGCAAATATGCAAATGACATCTGAAAATCTTTTCGCACTCTTTTCTTTTAAGTAATAGCAAGATTATATATACCTAAACAATCAACTGAAAGCTTTTAACATAAAACTTTCATTTATTATGAAAGGCTGAATATCTGGAAAAAAGTTCCCCTATACTTTGCTGCAGAATATAAGACTGTTCAGGGATCGAAGGTAAAAAGTTACTTTAGGCCTACTTTTGTGGGGTTATATTACTTATATTACTCCTTAGTTACTGCAATAGATGGCCAAGCAGACAAACAGTTATTTAGCAGGCATCTGGCATCGGTGGACATGCCATCAGGAATGGAGCCCAGTCATGCCATGGCATATTCATGCATTGGCAATGAGTTAAAAAGAAAAAGAAAAGGGAAAAAAGGAAGAGTGCAAAATGAAAAAAGTCCTTTCCTCTCTTCCCCAAAACAAAACTTACCTGGTCTTTGACTAATTCTGTGAGCGTAGAGAACATAACTCTGATGACGGGGCCAGACCACAGGAGCTGCAACTGTGTTTTGACAGTGGACAGTGCATCATTCAGATGTTGATCAAGGGGGCGGGAGAACCAACCAAGCACCGGGTGCCACTGTGTCAGACTGCTCTGTTTTGTTGTCACATATTCTCTGCATTTTTCTAACAGCTTTGTTACTACAAACTGAAAATCATAAGGTGCAATACATTTAAGCATAATATCTATTTTTCTTTTCTGCTTCTAATGCTATAACAAAAGTTTGGTCATTTGAATTCTCCATCACATAAAAGATCCACAAGAATGATAAAACTTATGCAAAAGAACTTACATTGAATTGCGGGAAAGCCAATTCTTTTAAGGCACCATCTCTCTCTTCATAACCCATATGCACAAGGTTGGCCAAAAGACACAAGGCATAGGGGCCCTCCAATGTGTTGAATACGATTCGCAGATTCTGCTCACTTTGCATGAATTCAACAGCTCTCTCAAACAAGTTACTATTCTGGATCATCTTCAGAGCCTAGTCAGAAAAAAGGCAAAAAAACATGTAAGATATGTAATGTCATAAGGACACTACACTTTTTTATGAGAAAAATATGTAACATTGTTTGCTTTCAAAAGGTATATATTCTAAGCCTATTTCAAACACTTGAAGTAATTCTACTGATGATATTTTTTCAGCTTACTTGAATTACTTGAATTACTTAGATGAATGTTAAATATTACAATTACAAATGATGTGATAGCAACTTTCAAAACGTACTACAACATATACAAATACTCCCAAACCCACACACACACACACACACACACACACACACACACACACACACACACACACACACACACACACACACACACACACACACACACACACACACACACACACACACACACATGCACGCAGCACGCATGCACTCTTTTCTTCGATATATCCAACGCCGCATCCACATGCCCAGATTTTCCCCTTCCTCCGGCCATGAAACATACAAGACAGCAAAAGATCCTTCATATACAGTAAAAGAGATCCTTACCTCAGGTGCCAGGTGAACTAGATGGTGAACCAAGGCAGGGACACTCAGTATGTGAATGGTAGTAAGTGAGAGTAGTTTGTCTGAATAGTTGGTAGCTATCAAAGGCCGCATGGATAGAGTCACAATAGTAGTAATGGCTGGACCCCTCAGTGCTGCTTTTCCTCTGCATAATCCGCGTACAAGTACACACTTAAAAGAAATAACAATAGTAAATAAAAATAGAACAGGTGGTATTACCTGATATCATATTCTGAACCAATCCTAAACATTCATTAAGTTCCAAATCTTTAACTTCTAACAAGCCACAATTATATGCATCTAATTTTCTCATACACTGCTTATGCATATAATATAAAAATTAATTAAATACTTAAACGAGGTCCTTACATTGAGGGTTGTGTAAAGGCCTCTGCACACCAAATCCCCCATTATATTTTCAGTCAGTTTATTGAGAGCTGGTCGTAGTGGTTCAAGGTTGGGTGCACGAATAATTCGCCAAGTGTTGGTGGCAGTGAAGGCAAGGAGAAGGTGCAGGTAGAGTGATATCAAACGATTATCTGATGACACGTCTGCCTGTAAACTCTCCAACACTTTACATGTTATATGCAGAACCTAGAAAGAGATGAGAGAAAGAAGGAAATCATATTTACTGTTATGATTAATAATGAAGATGCACTATGGTTACCTTCAATTCAGTCATTAAAAACCAGTACTATGCAAAGGAAAATAATCCATGAAAAACACCAACTTACATCCTTCATGTGCTGAATCCAGTGCAAGGTAAGCTCTTTGTTCATCCCACATGAAACATAGCTTTGCTTCACATTTTCACTATCCATGCTTGCCAAAAGGTACCTTGTTGCAGAAAGTGAAAAGAGAGAAAAAATTATTAGACTTGATGAGTTCCTAAATATCTGAAAACTGTAAATAAACTAAGCCTAATAAACATGAGGTAAAAAGCTTTTTTCTCAAAGCTGTTGAATGTATTTGCCTTCCACAATGACAACTTCTTCTACTATCTTCTAATCTCGCAAGGAGTCAGTAGTAATATAGTGGCTAGGGATACTGTCCTCAAAATATAAAGAAAATTCTCCATTAATTACATTAACCCTTTTCAAGGCTACAGGTGATTTATATCTCACACTTGCTCCTAAATTTTAGCAGGCACCAGATATCTAGTATACATTTAAAAAATCATAACAATATCCTAAAACAATAAAATATCGTAAAATCTAACAGACAACATTATTCACCATATTTTTGAAGAGTCTGCAAAAGAACGATTTAACTAATTTCTGAACATGCAACATATGAAAGTAAATACCTTGTAAAAATCTCAAATCTTTTCTTGTCCTTTTTAAGATCAAATATCTTTACAAATCTCGCAGCTTCCTTGAATGCTTCAGTGGCAATAGGGAGCGTGTTTGTCTGGTCAGCAGGCGGTGGTTCTGTGCCAAAGACCTCATCAAAATGCTCTCTGAAAGGCAAAATAACAATACTGAATGTAAATGAAAATCATGAAAAAAAAAAAAAAAAAAAAAAAAAAAAAAAAAAATATATATATATATATATATATACCGTATATATATATATATATATATATATATATATATATATATACTATACACACACAGCCAGCTGCTACTATGCACTGTTTTCATGAATGACTACTATCATGCATACTCCAATTCTAAAATGCACCTAAGTTCACTACTGTACACAGATTTTTATTCACTGGTTGTTTTGAAATTATCTGGGATGTGCACTTTGCATTAAGTCAAATTTGAATAGTAACATTACCACCCATGAACAAGTGTTATCAGCAACAGATTACTTTTTATAAGTGTGAATAATAGCAAGTAGTCCAAAGAACTCTTCCAAAATTTCACTTTTCAATACAAACCTAAGACAGGGAAAGAACAAGGGCTGAATCAAATTCCATCCCTCATCAATTTCTTAGAAGCTGAAAGATGAATGGTCTCCCAGGATGGACCTAGCATGAGCCTATAGAATGCATGCTTAACCCTATGGTGACAGGTCAAGATTTGTTTGTGATGTAATATTACACAGCAGACTAGACTTTGTGGTTAGGCCTGAGCTGTGAACAGCCAGCCCACCCACTGCTAGTCATAACTCATTTGCAAGTCATATGCTGTTACGCCATGACGGCTATAAACATCACCATCACTAAGCAGTTAAACTTACACCAAGAAACCAATTATGTAAACACCCAGAAGTACATTGCAATTTGATTTGGCTAGAAAGTCTTCTTGACAAGCAAGGATGGATGCTTTGATAAGTGAGGTGCAAACCAACAAGTCTCCTGGTGGCTATTGAGCAAACCCATCAACCCACTCATTACTTTGTTCAACCTTAAAACTGTGACAGTATTTAATAATGTCAATAAATTCAGCATTTCCTTTGTTATTTTGTTTTCTTGACAAATTCAGCACTTATCTGTGGTTTCAGGTTTCTAATAAAATCTGTATCTATCTTGTCTTATTTTCTCAATAAAACAATAGTGTTTAGAGGGGATATACTAGCAAAGTAAGTAGCTAGATCATCTGTTCAAGGACCAATTAGAAAGTGTTCTTTGATTCCTTAGTTCTACCATCTCAATTTTTTTGTATATGCTGGCATGTAAGCAATTAGGTGCAATAGCAGAGGATAAATATGCTTGTAGTTAATATCATCAATGTTCCAAGCCATCTTATGCTGGCTACAGTAGTTGACATAAGCTATCATATCAATGATAGTGAATAATGATAATAAAAAAGCATACTCCTATATGACTGGACTAATATATGTATAAAATCAAAACAATAAACTTAGTTTTTTTTACTAAATTACTTGTCATCTGTGGCTAGTATCAAGACCTTCAGCACAATCTTAAATCACAAGGTGAGAAATCCCAATCTACAAAAGTGCATTTTGTGAATGCAATTATAAATCAGTCAAAAATGCAAGCTACAAGATAAGGAATTACGTTATCTATGCTTCTAAATGGTACATTTCCTCATCCTGTCTCAAAAAATATACATTAAAAGTAACACATACTTCCCTTTATCCTTAAAATAAAGCTTATTCTAATGATCTAATAAATAAATCACAAATTTTGGTTCTGTCACAAATTCAAAACCAATGAACATGAAAGAGTTTGACTATGATGTCACTCACCTTGTTTTCTTTTCCACACTGCAACGCACAAGCCAGCCACGTATAGCTGCCTGAATAGCAACAGCAGCTTCATCGCGCCTTCGTTCGGCGGCCCGCTCCTCTCTAGCTTCCCTGGTTGCCTCGAGAAATGCTTCACGATTGGACTCATGGGTGCTGAACATTTTGCTGATGGATGGCCACACTTGGCCTTATCCACCTAAAAAATGAAGGACAGATATTCTTAATATTTAATATCATATCTGTAAGAAGAAAAATATCAAGAAGAGGAAAAAGAAATTTACCATCTATACCATATACCATACATTTTCTACCACTGGATAGAAAAAGCAGTGTGGAAGTCTTACCACATCAATATGTAAAATCAAATGAGATTCATCTATATGAGGTTGAGTTGACCATTACTGTGGCACAAAGCATGGAGGCTAAAGCAGTGCCTACTGTACAGATCTGTAAACTTTAACAGTGTTGTTTTATATATTCTATATGACCATATATCATTTTTTCTTTAAATCTTTGTGGTCATCACAAAAATTATCTATGTTCAGCACTAAAAAGATTATTACACATATTAATACCATGCAAAGCAATAATAATAATAATAATAATAATAACAATAATAATAATAATAATAAAAAGAAAAATATGTATTGGGACACATTCTCTAGGTTTTATCTTGCTATTCAATCTTCTAAGATGTACAGGAATGTGAGTTGAGGGGCAAATTTGACATGGGAGGACATACAAATAGCAGTTTACCTGTATCTCATGTTTTTGTAGATGAGATGTCATGTCTTCTCACAATATTTTTTGTTCCCATTTCTTTTATTCCTAAATTTCCTATGAATTTAGTGTTATCGTTTACAGCCAAGAATTCATAGAAATCTCAATATTGTCGTTTGTCATACAGTTTAATACACTGACAATGGAATTTCTCTGTGCCAAGCATTGGGCCTTGGAAGCAGTCAGCCACTTGAGCAAAAGACTAAAAGTGTGACAAACTTACATTTCGACTACTTAACTTTAAGTTTTCCCAGAGCATACATGAATTTTTAGGAGTGGGGGTTAAAATAACATTAAAACCTATTTTTGTATCTTTGGTATATCAAGCAGGCAAACAACTGTTACGTGCACACAACCCAGAGCGGGCTTAACCACACATGTCACAGGTACAGCATTTGGGCCTGGTTTGCCATTGCATGATCAGACCTCCGGCCTTAATTCTTGACAAAATCTGTCAGGAAATATTTCATATTACTCACTGACACATGACTATATTTATGCATCCCTATTTTGTTTGAAAGAGGGAAGGCTTACAGTGGAAATCCAAAACAAAAAAAATCACTACATTATCATTTTTGCACTATCCTTAACCTTTCATGACTAGGCCAAAATTTTCTGTGACAATCATTATGCAACAGTCTACCGTTTCTGGCAGGGTGTTGTGTACCGCCGGCCCGCCCGTTCGCTAGAACGAGTCATGCCGCATATACATGTCTTACATCACTACATCACAACAGAGATAGCTGTATCTGTTACTAAAGAGTTAAAGAAATGTGTTAAATATTATGACAATCTCATTTTACTATCTAAATTTGTTTCACATATACAAATCAGTTTTTTCTCATCATTATGAACTGTATAGCTGGGATTAGCTCTTACTATCCATTTCTGAACTACTATTTTTGTTGTTGTCACTATACTTTTATAAGTTTTCACAACTAATCTTTTCTTAAATCGCAAAATCACACCAAAAGAATAAAAATTCACACTTTATCATAATTACTCTGTTGCAATATTAAGTGAAAACCTTTCCCCACCCATGAAAAAGTCTACACAAATAATACATGTCTAAACTCCCACAAACAAGACATAATTAATCTACAAAGAAACGGTCTGGAAAACACAATATAAAGTAGTGGACATCAGCTTAAATAAATAATTAAGAAAATCACAATTACAATAAAAAACTGTAACAGCACAGGATCATAGCATAACTTGCAACACAGCAAGACAAAAAACAACACATCTATAGGTGATAACTCTTCAATCCTAATATTAATTTTTCCAGCCTCCATAATAATACATCAATTGCTATGGCAACATATCAACAACAACTTTATATCAACTGCAATGCCAACAGCAACATACCAACACCAAAAGAACTAGTCTGACATTTACACTAAAGACGACGTGATCAACTGCAATTTATCAGGGCAATTTGCAGAAATCAATCACTCTTTTGGGCACGAAACCTTCAGCGGAAGTTGGGTATTGTTTTCTTTAATCAATTACATTCTGAAATCTCATAATGCATTAACCACGAAACACTCTTATCCCATTCTCCTTCATATCGAAATAACCCTTTTCTATTTCGTTTTTTCATTAATTACGAATCATTCTTTCCTGTCTTCCCTCTTCGTAAACGAATACTTCCCTTTTCACATGATTTTCTGCCTAATTTCGACTAACTCTTCTTTCCCTTCATCTCATATGATTAAGAAATCCTTATATAAACGATAACTATACATAAATATACCTGTAGGAAGCCAGAAGGAGTAGGAATTTGGGTGCGTTCCTTCTTTTGCATGAACAGCTGATACGTCAAGTGTTTAGCAAGAGTGAGGGGATACAGGCGATGTAAACAATGATAATATGTATAAAAAAGAAAATAATTTTAGATATATTTTCTTTTTCTTATTTTTGGGATCAATTTTTCTTAGGGAATTATGTGTGTGATGGGTGATTTGTTTTGTTACTTGGTTGATTTGTTATTTTGTTTATTTCCTGATAGGGGTAACGAGGTATTTCTTTTGGGAATAGATTGTCTGGTGACTACGGGCAGCGGCGGGTTTGCGATCAGCTAACTTTGTTGCTTGTAGATCATGACAAACTTATTATCGGTGTTTCTATAAGGAAAAAAAAATGTGTGCGTGTGCATATATATATATATATATATATATATATATATATATATATATATATATATATATATATATATATATATATATATATATATATATATGAGTGTATGTATGTGCAAGGTCTATATAAGTACTTATATAGACCTTGTGTGTGTGTGCTTGCGCGTGTATTTGTATGTGTGTATGTATGTATATAAATGTGTGTGTGTGTGTGTGTGTGTGTGTGTGTGAGAGAGAGAGAGAGAGAGAGAGAGAGAGAGAGAGAGAGAGAGAGAGAGAGAGAGAGAGAGAGAGAGAGAGAGAGAGAGAGAGAGAGAGAGAGAGAGAGAGAGAGAGTCTGTGTGTGTGTGTGTTTGTATATGTGTGTTTTGTGTGAGCGTGTACTGTTCATTGGGGCTACATCTGAAATCTAAGAGCTTCCTTTTGGTATTATCCATTAGAAAAAAAAATATGTGAACGAGTGAAGAATTCCACAATTGTTCATCCTCATTTATTTTCTTCTGCCATTTCACAACGAACTACCTACCAAAAGAAACATGATACCATACAACATATGAGACGAGGAATTGTCCTGAGTGTTCAAAGCTTCTTGGCAGATCAAACTCATCAGATTACTACAAATTCTTCGCCAAAATACGTAACTGTGTTTTCTTATTATAAGCCTCTCCATACATCTACTTACTCGTCAACAGCATATTCACTTACCCTTATAAGTAGTTTTTTTTATTAATGTCAAGACACTTGAAACATAGTCCTAACAGCTAATTCTTATGCTCGACACCTTAAGGGCAACCCTCTATATTCAAAACAATATAGATGTCAAAATAAAACTTTCATTTAATTATTTGAACTACAAAAAATATTTGCTTTTGACTGAACTTGAATATTCAAAATGATACATGAGCAAGTCTCCATCTTAAGTCGGGGACGGCAAACTATCGTCTCCTTGCCATAAACTACAAGGGGAGCTCTTTCCCTTGCCCCACTCTTTCCCTTGCCCCACTCTTTCTCTTGCCCCACTCTTTCCCTTGCTTGCCACGTACAGGAATGAAACAGTTATTAGTCCCTCTCTACATGAGTTCCATCAAGAGTGACACACTTCTCTCATCGTTTTATGCAGTTGTTGATTTTTTGCTTGTAGGAGTCCGCAGGTTGCACTTGAAGCCATGAAGTGACTTTAGAAATCAGTGCCTCAATATCTTAGAGACGTTTGGCCTTCAAAAATGACAAAAATGAAAAAGGTGAAAGTCAGATGTTGCAAGTTCAGGATAATAAGGAGGATGAGGAAGGATGTCGTACCCACAGGACCGCGCTTCCAACTGGTCAATGTGAGAGTTGTGAACAGGGGTCTTGTCTTGCAGGAGGCGGGCACCTTTGGTCAACATTCCGCACCTCTTGATTTTGATAGCGTCCCGCAACTTCTGTAACAGTGAGGCATAGGAAACTTCTATAATTGTAGTACTTTTTGCCAGGAAACTCATCATCACTACTTCATGCTGGTCCCAAAAGACTGAACATGACCTTGCCTGCCGAGGGTGGGACACGTGCCTTTTTGGAGGGTGGTGAGCCAAAGTGCTTCCACTGTTTTGACTGGGCTTTAGTTTCTGGATGATAGTGGTGGACCCAAGTTTCATCCTGCATAATTAATCTGGCCAAAACGTCCTACTGATCTCCTTGGCACAGGGCTAAAAGAGCCCTGGAACAATGGACTCATTCCTGCTTCTGGAAAGGTGTGAGTAGCCTCGGAACCCATCGAGTTGACAACTTTTACATATGCAGATGCACATGAATTATTTTGCCTGCAGACCCAACACTAATCTTCACATCTTGGGCTAGCTGACGAACAGTAATACGGCACTCTTCCAAAATGGCAGTCTCTGCTTGATGACTGGTGTCCCCATCAGTGGCAGACTGGGGTCGCCCTGGGATAGCACCGGTGCGGTTCCTACAGATCACCGACTCACCTGACCCGGTGAAGCCAATGTTTAACAACGTCATATATGATGGGGCATCCTCCCCATAAGTTGCTTTCATTTCATCGAAGGTATCTTGTGGTGTGTGCCCATTCTAGTATAAAAACTTAATCACTGCTCGATAATCCCATGATTCCAATTTCACACCTTACTGCACCTTCACCGCTATAACAGAAAATTTGTTATGAGTTGAGGACTGGTAATCAACACATGACCTATAGAGATGGTTATCTTTTATGCATGTGGAATTTCAGCCTCCTAGGATAAGCGGAAGTGGGTCAGGGGAAATCTTTCATGAGCACCCCTCGTATGTTACTGGCTACAATTAATTACTTGTAAAATACATATTTCTCTATATTTATCATTATCCTTATTAAAGACATGGCATTTTCTCTTGAAACTAAGTTCCTCAGTATAAAGAGAAGCACACACGATGCTCCGAGTTTGCAGAGTATATTTTGAGTTATTCTCTAGGATTCTGAAACAATAAGTAACAGTTGAATATAAAAAAGAAGAAAAAAAGAGAGATTTGCTTGCTGTGAATCCATATATCATTTATTCTCTCTATTCACTGACGATTCATATTTCCGAAATTTCGTAAACAGTTTGCATAAGTCTAATATGTTCCATAAATATCACTGTTACTATATACCCACGGCGTGCCAAGTACGACTTTAGGAGGATGGCCGGCCACCTGGAGTCCGCCTTCGAGACCGCCTGTGTTGTGCTGATCAGAGGGCGCTTCGGAGCCACAAGGACCTTGTAGGTCGAAATAACTTGTAGTGAACTTGTAGTGTTTGTAAGTAAAAAAATAAATAAATAAAAGATAAATAAAAAAGAGCGAGAGATAGAGAGAAGACCATTCTCATCTACATAATTTGAAGTAGACTAGGAAGAAATGATATGAAATAATAGATAAGATGATAAAAAGACGGAGAGAGGACCATTTTGATCTTTGTGATTTGAAGCGGCCTAGAAAAAAATGAAAAATGAAATGATAAAAAAGTAGAAAAAGAAGAGGAAAGAAATGTAGTTCCTGTAGATGCTGAGGAAGCAACAAGAACCATGTAAACTGATGTAATTTGTAGTAGTTATAGGTAATAATAATAATAAAAAATATCTATATAATGCACGAATTTGTGTGTCGTCGACTCACACACACACACACACACACACACACACACACACACACACACACACACACACACACACACACACACACACACACACACACACCATACTGGACATGTCCAGTACTAATATCCGTGTATCAACTATGTAGGCAGTCTTTGTTTTGTGATTTTATAGCTATTTTTGTAATGCCTAGGCCTACAATTCGTAGGTAATCGATCTTTTATCGTATATTTACATTTATAAATTGCGTATCATACTGTAAAATCTAATCATGTTCTCTAATTGCTGAACTTGAAAACAATTGATATCATTGGCCAATTAACTATTCACTAAAGGGTTTGAAAGGATTCCTTTGGTCAGTTCCTACAATTGTTTGTGATAACATTCGTTTGATTTTGTGACGCAGTGATAGACCCACAACATTTGAAGTAATCAAACTTTAAATACATCGACGACATGACACTAGCACCTCCCACAACCCCAGACAAGGCAACATTTTATCACAGGACTCTCTCGATCAAGTGTCAGAATGAGCTTCATCGAACAGGATGCAAGGAAACAAACAAACAAACAAAAAAGTGCAAGGAAATAACATATTCAATGAATTAATTCACTGTAACAGAACTCTGAAACTAGGTAACGACCATTTAACTCGCGCTTCCGGGGTATCTGTGACGACCTGAAGTGGTTCATAAACATCAGACAATGAATTTCAAAGTTCGAAAAGAAGTCTTTCATTCAATCCAAACTTAAAAAACATCTGGTGAATCCCAGCCTGACCTATTCCGTATCTATAGACGATCCATGCTGTGAATATCCAGTGCCTCCATGACATTAACACATAACTAAATTTGAAAAAGAAAAAATCAAATAAGATAAACCAGAAAAAGAGTTGCGTAACTGAAACAAAACTCCTGATGCTGTTAAATCAGCTGAAAATCCCCTCCTTATATTAGAAGACCGGAGAGAATTCTTAGAAAAAAAAAAAAAAAAAATTGCTTTCACCATCGTCACATCCGACAACTATCTTTATCATCTTTCCGACTTCCGTTCGTCTAGAAAATACCTCCGTGAAGACAAGAACGCCAAAATATGTGAACCAACGTAGCCTACAACCAGATGTTATATGTATTAGACACTTGGATGTCAATATTGTAAAGTGATTATTTTACTAAGTAGAGTCGTTATTATCAATATTACTATTTTCATTATGATGATTACGATTATTATCATTATTATCATTATTATTGGTTTGATCAGTAGTGGTATTTTTAATTCTGTAATAATAATTTTACAAAATAGACTCGTTATTAATATCATTATTACTATTTTTTATTATCATTATTACTATTTTATTATCATGATTACGATTATTTATTATTATTATTATTTTTATTATTATTATTATTATTGGTTTTGGGCTGTTGTTGATTACTATTATATCATTAGTGTTGCTATTGTCATTATTTATCATTATTGTTGTTATTGTTATTATTATCACTATTATTATCATTAATATCTTTATTATTATCATTACCATTATTGCCATAATCAATAGTATCATAATTGCTATTATTATCATCATCATCATAATCAT